CGCAACTTAAGCTCTGGGGAGAGAGAAACGAACGCAGAAGCACAGAGGAGAAAGCAAAACAAAACACCTGTCACGAACTAGTACTACAAAACGAAGATTCTGAGTGAAAAATGACGGAGGATTTCGATATAAGGCAAGAGGAGAATGAGTTTTTTTGCCCAGCCATATTTGTTTGAACTCGAGTATACCGACCAGAAATGCGAGATGGAGGAGGCTGCAGCGGCGGCACAAACTACAGATGTAGTTCATGTGGTTTCCCTGTGCTGTAAACAAAACTTGGTTCTTGCGAGACTACACTCTTCTTCCCGGAGCTTATTCTCGCGAGACTACACTCTTCTCCCTAGAGCTTACGTTGCGCCTTCCGCTACGTCTACGTCATACGCTCGAAGGCCTTGTCATGAATGCGCCTGCTTGAGCGACCGGAAGCTGGAGATTACAGTATATAAATTTTAAAAATCTATATTTTTCTTACACTAATGCATCGTTTCACTTCAGAAGGCCTTTATTAACACCCCGGAGCCATGTGGATTAGTTTTATGATGGATGGATGCAGTTTTTTAGGCTTCAAAAACAGGGGCACCATTCACTGCCATTATACAGCTTGGAAGAGCCAGGACCATTTTAAACATAACCGCGATTGTGTTCGTCTGAAAGAGGAATGTTAGGGTGCGTTCACACTTGTAGTTCGGTTCTCTTGGTTCGTTTGATCGTGACGGAACTCACTGAACACCCCAAACAAAAGGTGTGTTCGACTTAAAGTGGCGCTGCTCAGACCGATTGGTGTGTGACATCAAAGTACCCATTCACCGATTGGTCTGCTCAGCGCTGCTTTAAGTTGAATACACCTAATGCCGTCTGCTGGACTGCATTGCCATTGTTGCTTGTACTTATGATTTTATTTTTACCACCTGCGAACTCACGAAGAGCTCATAAAAGGCACTTTACCTCCTCGTTGCTCCAGGTTTGTCCTCTGCTCATTTTGTTTTGGATACAACGCTCGCTCCGCGTCGTCAAATCATGTCGCATAGCGTCGCATCTTGTCATTACTTCCTGTGT